TCACATGACATACTGAAGGCAAGATGGGCAGTGAGGATACTTCATGTAAGACTAGCAGAAAATGAGTCATAGTAAAGGAACAAATATTGATTAGAGGTACACATGATAAGAAGGTGTGGAGGGCCATGTTCATCCTCATCTTGAAAGGGCACGGCACATAAAAGAGGAATACTTTTTATATCTCAATACTAACTTGCACACTTGCAACGAATATATCACCAGCAACAGATGTTTTCAACTCATGATAATAAATACTAAAAATACAAGGCAAATGTCTGTGATGGGTTAGAGTTGAGCTAAATTTCTTGGACACTAGCTAAATCGATAATTTTGGAAAAACTTCAAGATTTTTTTCTGATCTGCTCACGAGACTCCAGACGCTGTAAATATGAACCGTCATAATCTATCATTAAATACCACAATATGAAGCAAATATTTTAGTTAGTAAACAGCTTGTTTGGTTCTCACCGAATACACTGAGCACATCAGGTAGAACTGAGAAAATTATGTGTACAATTGTCAATAAATGTGACAGAGAGCAGAGTGTTGAAAGTGGTTGAATTAAATTAAAATAATTTATTAATGTGACACCGTTTCGTCTTTTAGCAATAGAAATGCAACTGTTTCAATTTATATTTACTAATTCATGTTGGTGAACATTTTTAATGACTTATTAATGTGATACTTTTTCAGAAATGTAGCAATTCCTCTTTTTAGCAAGAGAAATGTAACTGTTTCAATTTATATTGCTAACTCATGTTGATGAACAATTTTTATTTTAAAAATTGAAGTTCTGGGCGGACATTTCTGCACTAAAATATTCTTATTTTGTGGGGAAATTATTCGTGTAGAAAATGGCCAATTAAAATGTAATTCACGATTTAAAAAAAGCAAATCAAACTGAATAAACTGAAAAATATTCAATATGACTGAATATGATTGCAGTTTGAGAAGTTTTGTTATTGTACTGTGAACATAAATAGTCATTTGTGCTTCTCTGATAATTTCTTATTCTGTATTTTATTTATTTATTTTTTGCACTGCTTGCCTCCGAATAATCGATTCATTCTCTGTTCATTCTTCATTCACGCGCAAAATTGTGCTAACACAAAACCATTTCAAGAAAATTAAATTCTATTTCCTTTTGAAATATCTAGCAAGATCAGCTTTGCAAGAAAAGCCACTTAGTATCCTTTGTAACTTTTTAGTAAGGATTGCCGTTTTCTTATCTCTCCTAATCCAGGTTCTACAATGACGTTGAGTAGATTATTCAATGCTTCCCTCTTGTCTCCAATATGTCCTGAATGTCAAATTTCTCAAGCGGACTTTCTTCATTATGCACCCTAGAAATTTAAGTGATTCTTTATGATTTTAAGTATAAGTGTCCTTTTAATTTCCAACCTTCTCGTTGTGCAGTCAATGAGATTCTCATCCTTCTGTGGAACCTCTTTTTTTGTAATATAAACATAATATGATGTTTTGGTTAATGCAACCTTATCTTCTCTATTTATTAATGAGATACTCCGTTGTTAGGCTAACAGGAGACATTACTTAACTCCTATAACTATTTTATCGTAACAATATGTCTCTTAGGTAATAGAGACGATATTGTTGTTTTTTATTTCTTCTGTTTCATGTTAACTTTTTTAGCGATTTTACTATTAATTATTTAGAAAGCATAATTCTTCCTTACGCACAATTGTAACGTTATCACTGTAAAGACTAATAAAAGATGAAAGTAAATCACTCATACGTAAAATAATTTTTTCGTCACATTTGAACTTCGTCAATATAGTGCTATGTGAGAGTGTGTGGCTTTTGAAGTTTTCCACGAAAGTGGATCCTCTTCAAAAGTTGATGCGAACGACTCTGGTTTTTTCCAATTAGATGAAATGCTTATATAACTTCCTATCATCCGATTATCATACATCCTAGGCATGACTGAATCAATTATCTGTTTACAAGACATCCACGGATATCCTGCGAGGCGCGAATCTACACCACGCGGCTATGAATACACATATTACTGATGAACATGGCTTCTCTGTTTCACTGTCCTAACTTCCTCTTCCTCTGTGCCATGCCCCCTGAAAACGTAGGCAATCATGGCTTTCCACAACTTTCTGTCCTTTGTAGCTCTTAATAATCTTTGTCTTTCTGTTATTTCTCCTAAATCCTTTTCTGCTATGTATTTACTCAAGCTCATTAAATATGTTATGTATTGTCTTCCTCTGTCCCTCTTAAACCTCTACCTGTCCTGTGAGTATCAGATTTTCCAAACCCTTCATCCTCATTATATGTCATAGAAAGCTCAACTGTTTCTTCCTGGTGTTAAGTATTAGTTTCCTTTTTGTTTTCATTTTCTCCAAATCTCTGTCGTTACTCACATATTCAGTCCATGGTACCCCCAGCATTCTTCTGGAGAACCAGAATTCTGCAGCTTCCCGTTGTGACACTGGTTGCAAAACCTACTTTGGTATTTCTTAGACAAAGCCTCATGCACAATGATCAATTATCTCTTAGAACAAACATTCTTTATTGACAATAAATCCGATAGAGAGATTTTAATATTTTCTGGTGGGAGCCGCGTACGACACGGCAATAATTTTAATTATATAGAGTAAAAGAAAACCTAGATTACTCCTGCAGACAATATAACCAACGATAGTGCATAATTACTTAAATACTGACGTCTTTTAAAAGTACAGTTGTTTAGTTTTTATATGAAGAAAAAGTTCCATTTAAACAACTGCTAGATTGGGAAACAAACTAGCGTGTTGTTGCTTTCCAAATAACTTTAATTTGTAAAAGTTTAAATGCAATACCAATCGCTATCTACTGCCCCCTTATTATTCTTTTTTCTTCGCGTTCATTATTAATCTTCCACACCTTGTAACTCCTTGTGTGTTAGTGGTTAAAAAACGTAATTTCTTCAAGCCAAGGACCAATAGATAGCTTTCATACTAATCCTGATAATATTCGATTTCATATCACCAACTTCATTCAATATTACTCTACATTGATTGGCTCTTGAGTTTTTTTATTGGGTGAAGTCAAAACAGCGTGTCAACAATATAGACAAACTTGGAATTTCGTGCCCGAAAAGAAATGGAATGCGAAAAAGACGTTTTCCTCTTGACATCGCTTTTATTTGAACTATCATCACTCCCCGGTAATGTTTACTGTTTTATAAAACGATGATTTGAATTGTAATAAAAACAATCTCATAAATAAATAGGGTTTATTATTTTAGTTTTCAATTCTCAAGAACACAGAAAATTTATGAATTCAGTTTCATTATATGTTTAGGTTTCATTAAAATTCTAATCATCGCTTTTTAAAAGAATAAACAATGATGAGGAGTGAAGATATTTCAAATAATATCGGTGTCGTGGTAAAAACTGCCCTTTAACAATCCGTTTTTTTGCGGGCACGAATGTCACAGTCTCGCACAGTTTGTTTTCAGCATCAAACAGACTGTCGCTGCTCGATGTTGATCTGTTGATCCCAGACGTGCATATTCAAAAACGAAGTAACACTCATTATTATTAGAGTAATTCTTCACAGTAAGGCTTTAGCAAAACTTCGTTTGAATTTCTAAATTATCTATATATATATATATATATATATATATATATATATATATATATATTGGTTGACTAAATAAGCTTAAATTCTATGCTAACAGTTTCTTTTCTCGTACTTCTCGCTTGTGGAACTCCCTTCCTGCTCCATGCTTTCCAAACAACTTTAATTTGTAAAAATTTAAATGCAATACCCCTTATTATTCTTTTCTCTTCCCGTTCATTATTAATCTTCCACACCTTGTAACTCTTTGTGTCATAGTATATATATATATATATATATATATATATATATATATATATATATATATATATATATATATATATATATATATATATATACGATTATTTATATTATACAAGCTCTTAGTTTTTGAGACATTTATTTCTCTACATTTGTGAAATCAGCCTAAGAGCCAAATTTAAATCCTTAAACTCGTTGCTTGGTTATTTAAGATTTGACATTAAGCTAGTTTCTTATAAATGGCCGCACTTTGTTCACATCTGTTCAAAACAAACCGGCTTTCATCCTGACTGCGCAAATTCATATTGTCTGCCTTCAGCAAATATACGTTTACCTTGTAATATATTCGTTTTGCATATCAACAAAAAAAAGGAAATGGTTTAAAGTATGAGATTCAGTCTATATATGTAAGCAAACCTCACACACACATACACACACACACAAATATATATATAATTCCCAAATGCATAACAATATATATATATATACATCCCAAAAATGTATGCATGATTATATATATATATGTATATATATATATATACATGCACATACATACAGTCATAAACATACATATAACACGATATATATATATATATATATATATATATATATATATATATATATATATATATATATAAAATCATACATACCAGAAAATCATATATATATATATATATGTGTGTGTGTGTGTGTGTGTGATTTTCTATACATAAACAAAATATATATATATATATATATATATATATATATATATATATATATATGGGATAGGTATGCGTATGTGCATAGATATGTATATGTCTGTGCGTCTATTTCACCATATCTCTCTCTCTCTCTCTGTATATATATATATATATATATATATATATATATATATATATATGATACTTATATATTTATGAGCTTGTATTCAAGAAAGACGACACTGAACGTTTATGAATGTGTCGTTTATTATATTTCATGTTCCAGTCTTTCGAATTCACCCTGTCATATTCTTGGATTCCGGGTGAGTGCTTCTTAAGGAGAAGCTGTCAGGGGCAAAATGACATCAAAGCCAGCAATACGCCTGCTGTCCACTGGCACCGCTCATTAAAAATACACAATGTAGGTCTGTTCGTTGTGCGTGTGTTTGGCTCAAAGAGGAGATTCTCAGACATTCTTTTCCCTCTCAGGACATAGATTTGATTTTTTTTTCTCTATTTTCTTCTCTTCTATGTAAATACTTTATTCCAATTTTTGTATTACATCTCTCAATATCTCTTTCCATCAAGCAATTCTCTTTCTCCCTCTTTATCTGTCTCTTTCTCTCCCTAATCCAGGCAATTATCTTTTTTTCTCTTTTAACCAAACAATTCTCTTCTTCCTTTTCTTCACTCACTCTCTCTCTCTCTCTCTCTCTCTCTCTCTCGCTCTCTTCTCTTTCTCTCTCTTCTCCAGAATCTTTGTTTATTTCTCTTTTGATCAAACAATTCTCTTCTTTTTTTTCTTTTCTCTTTTTTTCTCTCTTTTTATCTATTCAAGTAATTCCTTGTTTCTTTCCTTTTGGACCAAACGATCCTCTTTTCTCTCTCCTTGTCTTTATATCTCTCTATAACACACTCTCTCTTTTTCAGCAAAACAATTTTTTTCTGCATTTCCCTTTTTGGGGCCTCCTCTCGATCTCCCGTTTTCGACCAGAAAAGCTTCTTTCTCTCTCTCTTTCTCTCTCTCTCTCTCTCTCTCTCTTTCTTTCTTTCGGCCAAGCAACCCTCTTTCTCACGTTGAGCAGACCTCTCTCTCTTTCTCTTTCTCCCACTCTCTGCTGATATGATTACTTCTTTATATCGCTGCCTATTAATATTCTACGGTTCGGATACCTTACCATATTCTCTATATCATTCTTTAACTTTCCCTATATATATATAATTGATAAAAGTAAAAGGTTTGTCACTTAGTTGATTGAAGTTACCTTCAGCATTCCGACACCAGATATTCGTAAACAGACTCTCCGGGAATCACTCCGTCCACTCGCCAGAAGTTATCAACTATTGACTGCTTCTACTACTCGATTTTTTTATAAGCAATTTGCATTGGTATAAGCTTTTTTTTCCTTCTGCATGGTGTATGTGTGCATGCGGTCGTATGTGTGCTTTTTGGTGTGCACGCGCCTGTGTCCATGCGCCTGTCTGCGCATAAGTGTTTACGTGTAGAATCTCGTAGTTATATGTACTTTCTTCGTTTATTTTCATTTTACACCACTCTTTGATATATATATATATATATATATATATATATATATATATATATATATATATATATTTTTGTGTGTGCATATTAAAATGGCTTCCAAAATTTTAAGTATTTGTATTGAGTCCGATATCGTATATCGGTGTTATCTACTAAAATGTATCTTTTGTTAATATTATTTTATGTATTTGTGATTTGTAAACTGAATTTAAAGTTATTCTTTTATATACATACTTCCATATACGATCTTCTATTAAGAAAGATAACCTATTTAATATTGGTTGCTTTCCTTGTTTTATAATGGCTTCCAGAATTTGCAATCATTCTTTGTATTGAGTCTGACATAATATTTTGATGTCACAGATTCTCTCATGTTATTATCACGTCAAAATTCAATTTACATATCACAGATTACTAAGATAATATTAAACCAAGATAAGGCGAGAAATTGACACTGATCGTACTAAGCGATTATGCATCCATTCCTTGGCAGTTATTGAAATCTACTCATCAAGAGGCAAAAGTATTTTTTGATTTTTTTTACGTATCTTATTTTTTTAAAAGACGCTGTGTACATATTTTTTAATCCTTTCACCTAAAGAAAGGCAATAATGCATCGGAGTCGCAAGTAGTTACTGAGTGTTAGAGAATATGAGAAAAATAGCAATAAAAGAACAAGAATTAAGCTGATAGAAGATAATGATTGACATTGAATATAAAGTTTTGAAGATCAAACTTGACTGAGAAGCAAAAAGCCTGAAGAGAGTTCGATAAACAAGGAGTGAGATAACAGGAATTGTTAGCATAGAAGGTAAATTTACATCTAGCCATTTCAATGAGAAAAAGATGAGACCTTTTCGCCAATAGACATGGTGGTTGAAAAGTAACTTACTATTTTAAGTATGAGTGTCCAGCCGGGAGTGCTGACTTAACACTTATGACTTTTTTCTTTGGGGTTGGTTAAAGGAGCAAATCTATTTTACCAAACCAAGACTTTGAAAGAACTGGAAGAGCGAATACAAGAAGTTATATCTTCCATACCACTTGGTTCCTGGTGAAATCAGTTGATGTGATTCCTGAGCTAATAACAAAATCTGGTGCACATACCAAATTTAAATAAAACCTCATGCTAAACGCTTTCCTCTTATCTCCATTTCTTGTAAAAAGTTATAGTTAATAAATAAATTTTAAAAAAATTTAAAATGGAGAGCTACTTTGCGATCACCCTGTAGTACTGCGCATAATTCAGAAAGGATGAAGACCATAGAGGAAAATTCATCAGAAAAATTACCATGAAAGTATTTATAGAAAAGGCAAAGGGAAGCGATGTTACAGCGGCGAGAAAGAAACTTTACCCGAGATGTGAGATCAAGAACAATAACATTGCAGATTCTTCTTTGGATTTTATCAAGAATCTTTACATCCATAGCAGAGGCATCGGACCAGATGTAGCAGAAATATTCTAAGCAAGGACAAATGTCAGACGTATAAGTATGAAAGATAGGTTTTGTCGGGAAAAATTGTTTAGCAGAATACAGTGAACCAAATTTTGTAACAAAAGACCTAACAATTGATTCGATATAATCATTTTTACTTCGTGTCAGCGGAAAACTCTATTGGAGATGGAAGTTAAAAAGTGTTCTCTCAGGTGATTAAAAAAACCACAGTTTCGTTTTTTTTTTTTTTCTTTTTTTTTGGCAGGGGTGGCGATAAAATTAACAAACCATTTTTTTGCCCTCGTTAACAGATTGTAAGTCATTTTTCAGATCAGCTGTTAAATTCATTATTAATAAGAAACTAATTTGATTTTCTTTTTTGTTTAAAGACCGTATAAATCAAACTTTTGACTCCTGATGAAAGGATTTTAATATCTACGAATATAGATAAGTAATCATTATTAATATTATTATTCTTGTTATTGTCATTATTATTATCATTATTATTATTATTATTATTATTATTATTATTATTTCGACGCTGGGCACTGTAATTACAAAGTCTACTTGCGTAAAAACAACAATTTTACCGAAATAGCCTGGTCGCCCGTCATTTTTTAACGTAACATATTTTTTGTAGATAGATAGAAAGATAGATTAATAGATAGATAGATAGATAGATAGATAGATAGATAGATAGATAGATACATAGATATATACATACATACATACAGACATACATATATCATATTCATATCTCGTAAGTGTAGACTTGTGTCATAGTTAAACTGATATTTATAAATAATTATAGTTTATTGTTAGAAAAAAGTGATATCAGAGGCCATTATCATGACGATTTAATCGATACTCAATAAAAATGTCATCAGAGGAAATACTAAATTTTAGCCAATTCCTTTTACTTTTTTATTTTGTGATTTTTTTCTGTCTTACTTTTTCTTCCATCCAACGCTTTGTCATTTCCTCTTTAACAATCAAAGTAAGGATCTTTTATTTGCTTTTCTGTGTTCTATTGCCACGGATTATTCTAAAACTCCTCTTTCTTTATTAGAATTTAAATTTAGAAACTCATCTAACCACATTCACTCATACGTCCTTTCCATTACTTTCTCTACTTTATCTCTCTCTCCCTCTCCCCCACTCTCTATCTGTTTCTTTCTCTCTAACTTCTTCTTTCTCAACACACACACACTCTCTCTCTCTCTTTCTTTCTCTCTCTCTCTCTCTCTCTCTCCACTCTCTTTCTATCTCTCTCTCTCTCTGTTGGTTTTCGTAACACCGGTTTCCGTATGGTCACCAAAGTTAAGTAACGTCGAGTCTGGTTAGTACCTAGATGGGTGACCGCTTAGAAATAACAGAACCTGCAAGCTTGGATGTGCGGGTGGTGTAATAGGTAATGGCTCAGAATTGTTCATCGGAGAGGGTGATAAGGTAGGGTAATAGATATCGTTTCAGAATCAGAAATCAGGAGCCGTGTTCCAATTCCAGTTGGGTTCGTTACTTATTCAGTTACGCGCAAATAACCTTGGGAAAGGGATGAATCCACCTTATATATATCCCCAGCTATGGGTTAATTAGTAAAACTTGTATCACTTAATTATTACTATCTTCGAAAAAGCTCTTACAATCTAAAAATATTTCTGGCTTTAAATAACCTGTAAAGGGTTGATAAGCCATAAAAAACGAATCAGCCAACGAATACACTTACATGTATAACGTTATTCAATAACTCTCTACTTTGAATGGCTCTTAGGTCCTGTATTGGGTGAACATTTAATAACGATGAAAGAAAAACACAAACATGAGACCAAGAGACATGATCGAACTCACAGTTGCACTGGACGTCTAGACGAGATCGTCAGCCATTAAACTTCAGGCTGAGATGCCTTGCTATTCTTCTTCTTTATGCGCCGTTTCCATTCAGGACGTAGGTGATCATAGCCCCCCCCCACACACACACATACCTTTTCCTGTCCCTTGTAGCTCTTAATAAGTGCTATCCATTTGCTCAAGTCCTTCAATTACGTTACGCGCCGCTTTCCTCTATTTCTCTCTACCTCAATCTGCCCCGTGAGTATCAGATTTTCCAAGCCGTCCTTCCTTATCATAATTAATTTTCTGTACTTGTTTGATTTTCACTAAGCTTTTATTAGTTTGGCATAAGGTGACAAGTATGGGGATCAATCAATTAATCAATCAATTAATCAAGCTCTCTCTTCACTTTCCCCCTCTCGCCCTTTCTATCAAATTTCTTGCCTATTTTCTTTCATTCTCAATCACAGATATTTCAGGGATGTTTAGTTTCTTAATTTAAACTATTTTCATCTTGCATAAATTTATTAAGTTGGAACAAAATCATTGATTATCACTTTCTCTTTTAATGGTCTAAGGAAATCAGTCTGAAACACACACGTTTCAATCACTGACAATCACGGCATTAAATTAACTACAAAATACTAAATTGTTCTTAAAGATTCTTTTCCAGAACCTCATTTGACTTAGAGGCTAGCGTATAAAATCATTTATTTCTCCAAGCATCGGTTGAAGATTGAACGCTTTGCTAAGTTTTTGCGGAAATTTTCCTTTGATTCTAATAAACAGATTCATTTTTAATATGGCTGCTGGCAACACGGGACTGCTTTACACACTTTTGAATTCCCACAATTCAATTCGAAATAAACAGTGGGATATTAGATAAAGACAAAATACATTTTTTCACTAGTTGGTAGAAATTAACGCCAGAAGAAAAGATAATTACAAATTCAGACATAATATGAAAGGAAAGCAATAAAGATGGAGAAAGTAACATTGTTAGAATATCAAGCAAATAAACAAAATAAGTGAAGTAAAAGTGGATTGAGAGGAAAGAAAAAGAAGAGGAAAATAATTTGAGAAGGAAAGAAACTTGGAAAACAATACTTAAAAGATAAACTCCAAATGCAGAGAAATATAAACGGAGAAAGAATGGCGGTTTCGTCATGGAAATAATATTTAAATAGCTGTTACACAAATCATTATTACCGTGTAGTGAGTCTTATGTACACTAGGTGCCCAATATGTGTGACCTTGAGCCATGCAAAACTTAGCTTAATAAAATTCTATAGCGAATTAAGAATAACAGAAAG